CTCCCACTATTCGTTGGTAAAAGAGTAGCCCAAGAGTTGTCGGTGGGTGGTGATGACTAGCTGCCTTCCCTTTAGTCTTACACTGGTAAATTAAAGACGGCTAGCGCATATTCCAGATTTTTCATTTTTCAGGTACATGCAGTTTCACGTAGCACATTGGTCATGAAAGTCGATAAACTCCTTTTGTTTTATCTACCTGTTGTTCTTTGCTATTTACCTGAGGTATTATCTTTGTCTTCCCGTAAGAAAAGTTTCTGAAATGTTGTATGTATTGTGTGAAGGTAAAGAGTAACCTCTTCCACTAGCAGGTTAGAAGACATCTCGAGGCTATAGTCTGACTTATTGTCAAGGGGAATGACCAACAGTCGCTTGAGAAGCGCAAGTCTCCCTGGAAAAGGATGACATTATAGTCTTATTTATTTAACAATATGTTTTCTGAGTTTACAAAACATCTAGAGAAAACAAACAGTTTTTACAAACAGCTTGGAGCGAACTACATAATGTAACTTCATTTAGCAATCTTTCCCAAGTAAAGTTGACTGTCTATTTTGCAAAATAAACACACACACACACTGTTGTTTATGATTGCGAATAAAATATTGTATTTATTGTACATTCATATTTGTGTCCTATCGCTTTCTTTAACGAACTCAGTCACATTAAGAGAATTCATAATTACTTTGTAATGCATTTACTTGACGAATCTCTTGTTATTCTGCGGACCTATCTTGTCACTCAGTTTTACATGATGAAATGCCACAAGAGTTCCGTTTTAGATATTTGATCAATTATGTGCATGTATGTGTCAAAAGACATCGGGAGCGAACTAACATAAAAAGCCGAATAAGGGATTTAAATGTAAGACGAGAGTGAAAATTATTTGTTTGTGGAGACTGATATAAGGAAGAATTAAAAATAGAAAGATGTTTTAAAGTAAAGTGAGCATGCGAGGTCAGTTCACTACATTTTTTTCACAAGAGGGTCGTGTATGTGACTGGCTAAGAGACAAAGAGAGGGGTGAACGAAACAGTACAGGCAGTTTGTTTGTTTGTTATGGA